TTAAATTTTTTTTTTTAAACTACTTTGACGACTCCTACTGGTGAACCAGTGCGAGTTACACAAAAAAAAAAACACTGAAGCAATTTCGAAGAGCATGAAATTCCCCACAAGGTCCATCAAACCGGTTTGCATTATTGTAAAAGGTGGGTAAGCATTAGAAATTTAAAAAATAAATAAAAATTTTTACATGCATTTTAAATGACAAAACTTTAAATTTAAATAGTGAGTTCTTAAAATTGATATTAAGAGCTCAAACTTGGTGAGAATTTTTTTTTCTATATGTAGATTAATATTTTGCTTGAGCACCGAAAAAAAAAAACTTTGCTGAAATGAATCACCCTAATATACATACATAAGTATGTAATGTACAATATATATTTACAGAATACTTTTTTTTCACCGGAATTCGTTCCGGATTATCGACACTCTACTGTAATACTCTCCCTATATTAATCCCCTTACAAACAAATTAACTCTGCTCTAAAAGCAAACATTGTATCAGGGGGCAGTTATTATTGGCCATGCCATGGGCTATTTAAAGATATATAAAAAAATCGGTAAAGTCTTTTACCCAGAACTTCCCTCGATATAGAAATTGTAAAAGCAGGGTATACAAAGGACTTAAAATTTAATAATTTAAAATTAAAACCACCAAACTAAAAACCCCTTTTTCACATTTCTCTCTCTATCGATCTTCCTCTAGATCCACCCGAATTCTCACTTCGCGTTCACTCGGTATTCTTCGTTACGAACACCGTTACTGAACAATAATGATTGGCTGCTTTCAAAATGGTCCAGTAACACAAACCGAAAGGACGATTTTAATTTTTTCCATTCAAGTGGAGCCTTTTTTAATTAAATACGATTTCTTTCAACGCCATTTTGAATTTTTAAAAACTTATTTAGGATATGTAATCTTTAACTTCTAAAATTCTCAGATACCAATTTTAGTCGAAATCTGCCGACTTTTAAAAATAATTTTTATTTAAAAAAATGCTCACCCTGTATATAACTGATCGGAAGTAATAAAGCCATTTTTGAGCTATCGCGCCAACAGACGACAGACAGACCAACGGAATGGGGAAACATGTTTTTCGTAATCTAGGGACCCTGCAAATCTGAAACATTCTCGGAAAGTGACTTTTTCACGATTACAGTTCATCAAATTTCTAGAGGCTTTCGACGGCTAGACAGAGAAAGCACTACTGACAGGCATCCCGACGGATTTACGCAATGAAAGTACACTCTGCGCATCAAGTATTTCACTATTTCATTCAGACGTAAATGTCAGATGTAAATTACGCTAAAACATTTCTTTTATTTTCGTTTCTGTTTTTTGCTCATTACAGTTTAATAGAACCTAAGCCCAGTATATGTACCAATACAGTAGCGACAGATCATTTTTTATGAGGGGTCCATATTTTTCTGCGCATGTCCGAAAATAAGCGACAAAAACGTCAACGTCAATAGTGTCAATGCGATGTAAATATGTCATTATTTTTGTTTGTTTGCAGTGCATAATTTTGAGACATTTTTATTATTTTAGTTTTTCATTTATTGTGTGATATTTTTGAAATGGCTTCTGCACCTGATCAGAAAAGAAAGAGATGTGTTTATCGCCCTTGTCCATCTCAAACAGAGTAAACAGACAAAGGGACAAGTTATTTTGCATTTCCCATGGAGCCAGAAAGGTATGTCTTAAGAAAATACTTTCAATTTTTATATTTGAAAACCAAATATTTATTTGACAACCAAATATTTATTATTTAAATGTCTGGAGGACAATTTTTACAATTTCAACAAAAATAATGTAAAAAATATATAATTTCTGAACTACCGTCAATCTAAACATTTGTTATCAACTTTTTTATATTTTAGGGCCAACATGTGGTTAAGAGCTTGTAATAGGGAAGATTTGACTAACATAGATGTGAACAGTCTTCATCGGAATTACAGGTTGTGTGAGAAACATTTTGAGAAGAATTGTTTTTCTAAAACGTTGAACCGTAAACGTTTATTGCCTACTGCTGTTCCCACATTTTTTATCCATCTAGGTCATCAGCCAAATGTCTATCTTCTCCCTAATACATCGACCAAGTGCTTCCTCTGTTGAGACTATCATTGAACATGAACGAGACATTTTTGAAAGCGTACCATGTGCAACCTTTGGACATTCTTAATCAAAAATCCTACCTCCAAATTATTATAATGAATTAGATGTTCTTTGATTCACTATGTCCATTGATTAAAAATGTTCTGATTGACTACATCTAATCAAAATATATATGTATTTCTTGTAAAGTAGCAAAAAGAAAACAAAAAAATGTATTTTGTGGTGTTATTATTTTAACTGTTTTTTAATTTTTGATTTGTTTCATTTATACAATATTTAAGCACTTAAACAATAATATATATAAACTTATAAATAGTTGTATGATATATATACGTTAGGGAAATTAGGACAAGGATGATTAAATTCTATTTCTTTCATAATATCAAAAAAAGCTATGCGATATACCAGACATTACACAGGTATTGCTAAAAATAGATATAACATTTTTTTATAATTTAAATATATAGATAATAAACTTTTCATTTGGAGTTTTTAGGCCTCCATAAGTGCTTTATTTGCAATCATATGTTAAAATCTGTGAACTATCCAAATCTTCACATTCTTTTGAAAATTTAATAAATGTATTACATCCATGTATGCCTAAAGCTTTTTTGATCAAATAGCCACAAACATATTTAAATGGATTTTGAACTATTATATCTTCTGTCCTGCAGCTGTAATTAGGAAGAAACACAGCTTCTCGAGTGTTTTTATTTATTTCAGGATACAGAGAGACAATATTTTTTACATCTAATTGTAGCAAGTGTTTGTCCAGGTCTTCATTACAATTCATGGAATTGCAATGAAGATAATTTTGACAAAAATTTTTTTAAATGCCCTTTCGAATTGTACAGGTGTTGGATTAATTAAATTCCCACCCTGTTGCCTAATGGACCCAACAAATTTTTCTAGACAGTCACTGTTGATTCTTCTAGCCATTAAATATTTAAATCCCGCAGCAGATAACCTTTCCCATACAAATTTTAAACCATAAAATCGTTAAATATAAACATCTAATTTTTATGATGTGACGTTAATAGTATTTAATTATATACATAGGTAATATAAGCAATTGGGCAGCATTGTGCTTAACGGGTGACTTACAACAGGCATTTGCTAAAACTCATCTGAAGTCAAAAATTTGTACGTAGGAACAAAAATTGAAATAAAATAATTCTTGTATTGTAAATTCATTAAAAACTTACTAATTTGTAATTGTGTGTTTTAATAAATATTATTGTTATATGTTGTTTCACTTCTAAAAAGATACCTACATAACCTCATTTTAAATAAAAAAATAAGGTGCAGAGTTAATTTATTAGTTCCAGGAAGAAACCAGAAAATGTTTATTTCATACAATGAATGGCATACAAAAGTAATTTATTTTAATCTAATGATAAAATTTTAAAATTGGCACATCTAGATTTTCACCGGAACTCATTTATTTAAGTTACACAATATTTTGATTAATTTATTTGCCTAGAATACATTAAAATGTTATATGTACATGTTTTAATTTTTTTCTAATTGTACATCGCTAATTTGCAATTTTAGAGTTTACTTTTCTCCGTGTAGAAATAAGCGACAAAAACGTCAACTGTCATTGAAAATCTGACCACCCCGACATCAAAGAAGCCGACGCAATCTGTCGCTACTGTATTGTTCTTTATACTGGGACCTAAGTATGGAGTTTAATAGCAAATTAAGAGGCCGCGTGATTAACAGTCAATCTCGCGAAATAATAGCCAATGTTATAGAGTTTATGAGAAGAGAAGGAAACTTTAATTCACCTTCAATACCATTTAAAAATGTAAATGATCGTGTTGCTGCAGCCACAGGAGTATCTAAAAACACTGTCGTCCGCATTTCTGGAGAGAAAAAAAGAATCGATAACCGTGAGATATCGGAATTTTCATCACCAAGAAAAACCATTAAAAAACCAAAAACAGTTAATGATATAGATGAAGCTGCACAAGAATCAAATTTTATTTTTTTATTATTAGATAGCTATTTTTGTTTCTGAGTTGTGTTCATTTACAGGCTCAATTTTTTTCCGTTTCTCCTTTTTGATTTTATATGGGGTTTCAAGTTGTTTTTGACTTATTTCGACGTAAATCACAACAACACTTTTTTAATAAAGCAAACAAGTGTTAGGAGGTATATGTACGTGTAAACTACAATTACAAAAAATTGATATGAAACCCATGAAACCACCAACAAAAATGTAAAGCTAGCTTCCGTACTAGAACATGGTGTCATTCGTCGAGATAATTTATCGTTTTGTTTAATAGATCAAGAAATGTAAATATTCCCCTGTTATTTTTTATAAAATTATAAGAGAAATAAATTTTTTTCTAAATAGTATAGTTTATTATTTTGTAGAAAAACAAAATTTCGAAAATTTTAGTAATGTTTCAGAAACAACCGTTATTAATAATAGGTACCATTTTCCTTAATAAGGTAGAAATAAAATATAAACTATTTCCACGATTTACAAAGGCCTACAAAAAAATTATAGGTATTTTCCGCTATCCTATAAAATTTATATTTTCTGACTCAATTTCAAAAGGTTGAAGGAATTCCAAAACACCTTTTATGGCATAATAATTATTTTCAATTCTACATACTATCTTTAGCTGCTTTTAAAAACGTTCTAAGAAAGTCCAATCAGACCAATTTAATCCCTAAACTATTCCACACTTTTAAAATTTAATTACCTAAAAATATTAAAAACTATTTAAAATAACTTGTTTAGCAGACTGTACAATAGCTATCTTAGTCACACGTAGCGCGTTCTCTGTCTGGGCGTCGAACACCTCTAGAAATTTGATGAACTGTACAATACTTCCCTTTTATAGAGGAAAGTAAAAACATAACACTACCTATATCGATATATTTTATTGAAATCCAAATATTTGAAACAAATTTGTATTTTAGGTAAAGTAAGAATAAATCAGAAATCACAAGCTTGATTAAAACTATTGTAAAGCTACTTGGTTATTCTATGATAATGATAATAATGTGAAGATCGTGTATCTGCAAAGTCAAAATTTTCGGAACAATAGTGACACGGGAAGTAGTCAACATCTTCATGTTTATCAATCTCATGTTGCTTCATATGAGCTTCAGCCCTAAAAAGTCTGTCACAAAAGTTACATGTAACAGTTAAGTGTTCTTCAAGATCGTGTTCATCTAGTTCTTCTTGACTAGGCCAATAATAGTTGCAATATTTGCATGGGAAATAATGGTCGGCATTCCAGTGTTGTTTCATAGCTTTTTTGGTTAGGAACCTCAAATTACAGTCTTTATCAGTACATAAAACGATATAATGAACATCATCTTCGTGTTCATCCAATTCTTCTGCAGAATTAAAAAAATAGTCACAATGTTCACAGGGATAATAATGTTTCGCATCGCGGTGCTGTTCCATATGTTCATATTCTCTGAATACTCTGTCACAGTATTCACAAGCGACAGTCATGTTCAATTACTAAAAAAAATTATGTTAATACTACGATTTCAAAATAATAGACATAGGGAAATTTCAGGAATGTCTAACAGAGTTGCCATATATCGAAAGAAAAACTTCTTGCACTATAAAAATGATGGCAAAAAAATGATGGAAAAAAATGTTTAAAATACATAATTGTTACTTAACACTATAATGTATCATACTTAAAATTATTTGATTATTTTTCATGGAGGTAAATTGCGATACTTAATTTTTTGTACCTTATTTGAACGTAAAAACAAAAATATAGAGACCACTTTAAAACTTAATAAATTATACGCAATTTCCTTCGCATTGACAACACAGCTAGCCCATCTACTAGCTATCGAGCAGTTTGTTACACGTTGCTATGTGTATGGAAATTTGTTTTCTCTCGCATTTTTTAACATGTTATAAAACGGCCACGTTTGAGTCGCACTTTATACAGGGTGTACCAATAAAAACTCCCAGGCCCGATGTTTTGGTAAGAAATAAAGATATTTAAATTTTGTTAAAGCCAGTTCACAGAGCACTAAGAGAGTTTCAGTTTTAGATATAAATTGATATTAAATAGGTCAATAGATAGATGGCGCTACGCTCAATAGTTTATTTTCGATGGGAGGATCTTTCTTGTGTAGCGCATCTTGTAAAAAATGCATTTAAGCAGATTTTGTTCTATGAACTAGTTCGATAAATCTAGCCTTTTTACTTTCCTATCTGTATACAGATATAAGGAAAGTATAGGAATCATGATTTTTTTCGACCTCGAGTTTTCGACGGATTTTTACGTTTTGAGGTCCCCTGAATCCGTTTTGACTATTTTCGCGATGATGTCTGTGTGTGTGTGTGTGTGTGTGTCTGTGTGTGTGTGTGTCTGTATAACGCATAACTCATGAACCGATACACGGAAAAACACCAAATTTCAAACTTAAGCTTTATTCCAGCGTCCAATGAGCTGATTAGATTTTGGGCAGAGTCGGAACATCTGGGGGGGTACTTTATAGGTGGTCATTTTTATATTTTATAGAATATATCTGTTATTTACGTTTGGAGAAGAAAATTCTTCAAATAAAAGTTACTTCTAATATAATTATCTATAATTTTTGTTTTATGCAAAATTTTCCTAAAATGGTCCGTATTCGAGAAATTTGACAAAATGTAAAAAACGTAATTTTTTATAAAAATTGTTTAAATAAAAGTGGTTTGTAATATAATTCTCTATAATTTTTGTCCTATACATAATTTCTCTAAAATGGACCGTATTCGAGATATTTGAGAAAATGTGTAAATTTCGAAATTTGAAGAAAACTCAAAAACGGATAAAGGAAAAAACATTAAATTTTAAACTTAAGGTTTATTTCGGCCTGACGTGAAATGATTAGATTTTGGACAAATTCAGAACATCTGGGGGGGTACTTTATGGGAGGCCGTTTTTATATTTTATGGAATATATCTGTTATTTATGTTTGGAGAAGAAAATTGTTCAAATAAAAGTTACTTCTAATATTATTATCTATAATTTTTGTTTTATGTCAAAATTTCCTGAAATGGTCCGTATTCGAGAAATTTGACAAAATGTGCAAAATTCTGATTTTTATGAAAATTGTTGAACTAAAAGTTGTTTGCGATATCGATTTCTATAATTTTTGTTTATACATGATTTTTCTAAAATGGACCGTAATGGAAAAGTGCTAAATTTAAATTTTTCTGTATTTTCGTTTTCAATGAATATCTATAGAAAAATGTTTCGAGGTAGATGTATGTGTAAAATGTATATATTTAGTTTATCCTCTAAAAATTTATAGAGATGCTGCAATAGGTTGTACAAAATAACCGGAAAATGCCTATAATAACTAGATAGGAAAGTTATGTGTTGGACACATCAGATTTTTACTTTCCTATCTGTATACAGATAAAAGGAAAGTATAGGAATCATGATTTTTTTCGACCTCGAGTTTTCGACGGATTTTTACGTTTTGAGGTCCCCTGAATCCGTTTTGACTATTTTCGCGATGATGTCTGTGTGTGTGTGTGTGTGTGTGTCTGTGTGTGTGTGTGTGTGTGTGTCTGTGTGTGTGTGTGTGTGTGTCTGTGTGTGTGTGTGTGTGTCTGTATAACGCATAACTCATGAACCGATACACGGAAAAACACCAAATTTCAAACTTAAGCTTTGTTCCAACGTCTAATGAGCTGATTAGATTTTGGGCAGAGTCGGAACATCTGGGGGGGTACTTTATAGGTGGTCATTTTTATATTTTATGGAATATATCTGTTATTTACGTTTGGGGAAGAAAATTCTTCAAATGAAAGTTACTTCTTATTTTATTATCTATAATTTTTGTTATATACAAAATTTTCCTAAAATGGTCCGTATTCGCGAAATTTGACAAAATGTAAAAAAATATTTTTTTTTATAAAAATTGTTCAAACAAAAGTTGTTTGTAATATAATTCTCTATAATTTTTATCCTATAGATAATTTCTCTAAAATGGACCGTATTCGAGATATTTGAGAAAATGTGTAAATTTCGAAATTTGAAGAAAACTCAAAAATGGATAAAGAAAAAAACATTAAATTTTAAATTTAAGTTTTATTTCGGCCTGACGTGAAATGATTAGATTTTGGACAAAGTCGGAACATCTGGGGGGGTACTTTATGGGAGGCCGTTTTTATATTTTATGGAATATATCTGTTATTTATGTTTGAAGAAAAAAATTGTTCAAATAAAAGTTACTTCTAATATTATTATCTATAATTTTTGCTTTATGAAAAAATTTCCTGAAATGGTCCGTATTCGAAAAATTTGACAAAATGTGCAAAATTCTGATTTTTATGAAAATTGTTGAAATAAAAGTTGTTTGCGATATCGATCTCTATAATATTTGTTTATACATGATTTTTTTAAAATGGACCGTAATGGAAAAATTGTAGGAAAAGTGCCAAATTTAAATTTTTCAGTATTTTCATTTTCAATGAATATCTATAGAAAAATGTTTCGCGGTAGATGTATGTGGACAATGTATATATTTAGTTTATCCTCTAAACATTTATAGAGATGCTGCAATAGGTTGTACAAAATAACCGGAAAAAGCCTGTAATACCTAGATAGGAAAGTCATGTGTTGGACACATCAGATTTTTAAAACTACAAGAATAATAAATTTATAATGATGATAAAAATGAGAAAACTAGATAAAATGCATAAAGTCCTAATCAGCGGTTTCCTAGAAACTGGTAACTCTGATAACGCCGACATCTGCAGGATCTGTTACTAGGGCTGATGTAATTCCTCCCCTCGAAGATTCCACTCCAAAGGGTTAGCGAGGGAGTTGAACGGTGGTATGGTCTACTGGTACTTCTTGATTTACTGGCTTACGATAGGTTGAGATTTTTCTAACAACAAAGACTCCTGTTAGTAAGGCCGAAAAACAATACATAAATATTGTCCATATACTTGGAACTTGGTTATTGGTTCATTTTCGACGAATTTTGATTTAATTTGGTGTAGTTCATCTAGGTTGACTTCTTCTAATTCAAGATTGAGATTTAATTTTGACGATTCAGAATTTTGGAATTGTAGTTCGGGAAACAACATGGGTTGACTTGAAGTTTGAAAGTTTCCTTTATTTGCGGTTTTTTTTCTGTTTTGTGGTCACTGAACAGCCGACTGGAATGAGGTAACTGCCTATGGCTTCAATGACTTGTGTTTGATCATGACATTGAAGGGTGATTGGTTCCTTTGATGGGAAAGTTGCTATCCATTGATTTGTTCGATCTAATCTTTCGAACAAAGGTTGTTTTGTTGTGATTCGTGTCTGTTGACATGTGGAGGTGTTTTGGATATTTAAGAGGGCTATTTCGCATGGATTTTCTTTCTTGATCCCTTGGAGGTTAGTTTCGCCGCAAATATATGATGTTGCTGGGTGTAGCTTAAGGCAAGGCTTGCTCATAAACGCGTAATTGAAGTTATCTTTTATTAAGTAATTATTTTTTGGAATCACTGCTTTTAACTGACTCTGTTTCTCGACTGGTACAGAGTACAAATGGTAATAGTCAAAATTTTCAATAGTCGTTAAGGGAATTTTAATTATTTAGTTATTTTGTTGTTAAATACGTAGCTCTCGATTTTTATCAGTTTTTCATATATTAAAATATTTTCTAAAGTTACTTCAAGTGGCAATTGACTGCCCTTTAATTTCATTTGAATCTTTTGTAATTCCTTAAAGAAATCTGCGGTTTTCATGATAGCTGGATGCATAATATTAAGTTTTGAGAATGATATAGATGTTTCTATATCTTGCAATATTGAAATAATTATTTCCAACATATTAATAATTTGAATAAGGGTGTCTTTTTTTATTATTATTGTATTTCCTAACTCGATAGTTGTTTCTACAACTGAAGCGATTCTTTCTAGTTTTTCTTTTGAAATTTCCTCATTATGTATTATTTGATTAACGGTTAAATTGAATTTATTTATTAGTGAAATTGACAACAAATTTTGGTTTTTTATGTTTACGGCCATGTTATCCTGATTTTCTTGTAGTTGTTTTATTAATAGTTCATACCGTTCTCCATCAGTGGAGTCTAAGTTACCTGATATAGCTTTGAATATAGATCCTAGCCCATTAATAAGTCCTCATTTTGTCCTAAGAGTTGAAGGAGGGGTAAAATTTCAACTAGTTTACTTTCAACTTTTTCTTCGGTGAATGCTAAGATTTTTAAGTAATTTGCAATGTCGCTTGAATAATATATGTTTTTTGATGCATGAGTTTTTAGATCCCTTGAATGATTTTTCAATTTATCAATTTCCACAATTATCGGATTTAGGTCACAAAAATTTGATTTATTCCGTGATTAACAGGATATTCTGCAATTGGAAATCCTAGGATAGGATTTTCGTCGGAATTTGAGTGTACAGTGTCGTCGTCGTTTTCATCTTGGGGTTCTAAATCGTTTGAGTATCAGTGTCGGGATGTACTTGTAAGGATGCCTGGTCAAAGTTTGACTGATGAGGTTCAAGATTTCTCAAGTCTTAATAATCAATTTTTTTTGTTTTTGGTAGGGGATTATTACTTCGCCATTTGGAATGGACGTTTTAATTGTTATAACTTGTTCTGATCGCGGAGCTACTTTAATAAAATTTATTTCATTTTGTGTTTGGTAGTATAGCAGTTTAATTTTTGTATAAGGAGTTTGTAAATAACCTGTATTAAAATCTAGTGTAGCTTGTAAGGTTTTAAGATTATCTAATCCTATTAAATCGTCGAATATATCATAAAATTTAAATAGGAAAAATTTTAAATTCGCTTTCTGTGGGAGATTAAAAATTTTGGACGCTGGCAACAATGGGCTGATTTCTGAAAAACAGTTGATACTACAAAAGGATCGTTTCTTATGTTATTCGAAAAGAATTGGTGAGCTTTTGTTGGATTTATGAATGATTTCGACGTGCCTGAATCTATCAAAATTTTTAAATTATATTCGGAAAAGATAATGAATGGTACTTCACTTGGATTTACTACATGAAATGGTATTATTTGCGAATTTAGGTGAGGGGTTTGTTTCGAGGCTTGTTCCGAAAATTTGAATCTGGTTTAGAAAAATCAATTAGATCATGTGTTTCCGTTTCAATATTATAATCAAAACTTTTATCAACGCGTTGGTCGGGTAGGTTATTATAGGGATCAGTTATCGAAAAATTTTGTTCACACTCAGTATTAAATAGTTCTTCTGCAATATAATTCATTCGTGGTGTTTGATTTTGGTTAGAGGACCTTGGTGATCATTACCGTATTGGTTCATAACCCGGGTAGGTGCTCTGTTATTAAAAGTATTTCTGGTCGAAACACTCATAGGCGTTGGCCTAGGTAAATTTTGATTTGGAATTTGGTTTGGTCTAAAAGCGTTTACTTTTCTATTTTGTTTAAATACTTGTGAATTAAATGGAAAAAATTGATTTCTTGGGACCTGAGATTGTACAGGGACGGGTCCAGTGGGAAAAGGACGGCGTGCCGTGTAGTTATTATTATTATTATTATTTGCATTTTGAGGGATAAAACTCGTTTGGTTATTGAAATAGTTTCGATTTTGATTATTAAAATGTTGTCTGGACTGTTGTCGTGGTTGTGAAATGGGTTGTCTAATTAGATTTCTATTCTGAAAATTTTGAAAGTAGTGTATGTTACCTTCTTCCAAAACACACTGTAGCGCATTATTTAATGAGTTAGGTTTCATACAACGAATCGTAGTACCTAAAGGTTCTTTAAGACCTGACAAAAATGTCTTTAAAGCTAATTTATTATAGTTCCCTTTTTAGTATTTTACTCTCGACAGTTTCTTCATGTAAATCTACAAAGCTACAGAGGAGATTTAATATATTTAACACCCTGTCATAAAATTGTTGAGGTCGTTCATTAGGGTTTTGTCTCAGCAAAACTAAGTCACGATTTAAACAAGTTTCATCCCTTTGGTCTGCAAAATTTCTAGTAAGTGTATCTTTTAAGTTTTCCCAAGTTGCGACATTTTGAATGTTCACCACTAACCTGGCGTTCCCTTTTAATTTAGAAACAAGTGAGTTTAACAAATACATATTTTCTATGATTTCTAATTTCTACGTTAGATAGTAGACACTTCCGACACTCCCAAAGCGATGCTTTGTACCAGAGATAAGGGTCTATGAGTCTTCATATAATGGACATAAAGATAAGATACACTCATAAGAAGTACATGCTTAACAACGACCAGCTCGAACGCAGTTAACATCTGACCCACTGTGTCGCTATCATCGATATTCAAACAAATAACGCAGCGGGAAATTAAAAAACTTGATAAATATCGATTGCACTTTCATGTTCTGCTAAATAAATTTAAACATTGTTAATTACGGTAAATTATTTATTAAAAAGAATACTATACTTATCGATTAATTATTATAAATCTATTGACATAACAAATATTTATTAATTTTTACATTTTTTATTTATCAATAGGTAGGTATAAAGATATATTTTTGTTACACCTATTATGTTTATTTTTCAGTTGAAAATTTTTTTTTATTTTTATTTTTAAATTTTATTATTTAACCATATAACGTAAAGATATATTTTTGTTTTAAGTATTTTAATTTATATTTTTTTGTTTAAAATAAAGTTTATTTTGGTTTCTTTTTAAATATTTTATTTACCAACGTAAGAATATATTTTTGTTGTACTTATTTTATTTATTTTTCCGTTTAAAATGAGTTTGTTTTCTGATTTGAAATTTACCGCCAAATCTATAGTACGTTAGAGTACAATCACGATCTGAATTTCAAGCTGGTGCTACTAAAAACTTCGTTAATTATTTGGTTTCTGTTCATCAGCGTCGGAGAGAATTGGATAAATAAAATATAATTCCTGGTAAATTATTTTTTTTATTGCAGGAATGTAATTATTTGCTTTCGGGCTGTTACGCCGTGGTCTTTCTTGGTTATTACCACCAAACGTTTCAGCTGCAACTGAGGCAGCCATCTTCAGTGACGTGGACTAAATACTCTTCTCGACGTATCCTTCTTTTGATATTTTTGTATTTCTATAGCCTCCAAGTGTAATTTGGTCGAATAATAGCTTGATGCTGATAGTAGGTCGGTGTTTTCGAAAAGGATATTGTGTTCTCCGTCGCATAGTGTGTTTGGCTAGTGCAGACTTTTCGGTTTGTCCTAAACGACAACTTCGTTTGTATTCTGTTAGTCGTATACCAATGCTTCTCTTTGTCCTATGTATACTTTTCCACAAGTGCATAGAATTCTGTAAACTCCTACTGAGTCTTCATATTATGATGTAATGTCATTTTGTAAGAAATATAAAAAGTTCGACCCGCCAACTACAGTCAATTTGGCGAACATTATAAAAAGAAGGACGCAAATTTGACTATTTCCAATTCCCCGATTCTCCCCGAGAATACCGATCAAGGAGAAGCGACAGCTTGGTGTTTTCAGTGTACCGTTTTGATACCCCCATGTGCGAAAATAAGTTGTGCATCACTCAAAATCATGTTATCTGTCAAAGTGAGTCCAAGTTGTGTTCAGTCTGTAAGCTGTTAAGGTGTTTCTTTTTGTTGTAATAGAATGTCTGGATGTGGATATTTTTGTGCATACCGTTCTTGTTCGTCCAAAACCGGCCAAGGATTAAGTTTATTTACTTTTCCAAAGGACTACGAACAGTAAATATCATGATTATTAATTGCTATTAACCCTAACTACTTCAATGTAATTAAATCACATCACAACATTTGCGCATGGACTATTATAATGATTTCAGATAATTTGCCAAACTATTTTGCTCAGTGTAGAAAATAAGCATGTTTTCTCAGCGTATTAAGTTGTGTATTAATCAAAGTCATGCTGTGAAAAAGGTCCATCCGATATCAAAGGCACCGACAGCTACTGTCGCTTCTCCTTGATCAGTATTCTCGGATTCTACTTCATCAGCAGATGAGGGTTCTTAAGTGAAAAATCGGAATAGCATAAATGATACACCATTCACCACCTACACGTGACTGAAAATGAACGTTTTTGATAGCTTTAAATATTGAAGCTAAACGGGGAGTTGTGAAATGGAGAGGGTCTCCATTTCTTTGAGCAAAACATTTTTAAAGTAATTATTGGTAAAAAGATTTTTTGATACCATGTACCTTACAGTATATATATGTAAGTAATAAAAAGTCAATTTGAAGTTCGCTGACATTGCATTATAAATTGTCAAAAAACAATAATTAGTTATTTATATACCCTCATGAAATATTTTTTTTATAATTACCTGAAATATATTTCCTTACAAATAAGTTTGAAAAGGCTTTGTTTGTCTTTAGGTACTTGAATTAAACTATGCCTTGTTACAAAATCAACAATACTTGAGTTATGCTTATGAAGACTAGTTATGCTTTATGCTGTCATAGCTGCACAGCTGAGATAAACAAATAAAATATAGATATGTAACGGGCGCAGTTTAATATAGGCTTTGTTTGAAGCAAAGGTTTGAAGCCAGTATATACGAACGTTTGACAGTTGTGATCTCCATGGGCGTATCAAATAGTTGTTTTATCATAATTCAAAGGATTGTTTTGTAAATATTTTGTCAGGACAAATTTTAAAGAAAAAAAATCTATTTTCTATTCAAATGTAATAAAAAAATAGGTTTCAAATGATTTCACTGTTAATATTATAAAATAGTCCATTCCTAGAAAGCCACACGGATAATCTGATGAACTGTCAGTAAAACGTTTCAACGTATTTTCTGATTCGTACATGAATGAGTCGGCGGATTGTCAAAACGATCAGACGCTTGTACAATTTATCAGCACATGCAAATTTGAACGTCTCTTCTCGTTTGTGCTATTTGTTTGTAATTGTTGGGATTTTAAGATAGCTTGGAGTGGTTTGGGTTTCTATTTCTTTCAATTGAAATGAATAATTTGTTTTTATCTTGTGTACTGGTTTTTTTTATGTAAAATACGTACTTATTTTTAATAAAAATAAACATCTTAAGGTTTCAAAATTATGCACTCACATAGAGCGTTCGAGACAGCTAAATAAATGTATTTCGTTGTATTTTAAATTATGTTTAAATTCATCAAACATGTGTTTGGTTTATCCAATACCATTGCATTTTGCGTTCCAACAAGTACAAGTCGCTGATTAAACAACAGACGAATAAACGGACTAACATACGCAGTGATTAGTTTACGAATGCATCCATGCACGAGTCAGAGACACATCAGAAAGGAGCTGTTGGAACAAACCTATTGTTTATAGGTAGATACATGATAATTCTTTAGTTATATGTGTATCGTAATCTGTATAGGGTTGGGTAAAATTTACCCATATTACACTATTGTGGTAGGGGAGGAAAATTGAAAATCGACTACAGCGAATTCCCATTTCAGATAAATTAGATTGCGGCGACTGTACATGATAATTAATGTTGTTTAATTAGCAAAAAGAACAGGTAATTAATCTGTACAAACAGTACCTTACTGTCGTCAAGGTGATATACCCAATTTATTACTAATTAATATTTAATTAATAATCAATGATGGTAGAATAAATTAAAAAGACTACTTCCTTTAACAATAAAGTATCTTTAACCAAACAGACCTAAAATTTATTTTACAGAAAAGAAACCGACCCACAAAACCAACTGAACTATCTTCTTTTTTAAATTTGTAAGGCAGACGTTCAGCCGCCGATCTTCAACAGCAGACCGTCTGCTGCAGACAAATTCTTATAATGTCTTACGAGCAATTCGTTAACTCGCTACATTGAGCTAACGAGCGGTTGAAACGAATTTACTACGCAAAGATCTGCGGTTAATTTTTGGCGGCTGAACTGCTGCCTAAAGGCTGTATGTCACGATACTAAATTAAGTACTAAATTTAGCACTAAATTAAGTTATTAATTTAGTACTAAATTTAGAACTAAAAATTTTTTTTTCCGTTTGCAACGATACCAATTTTTAGTACTAAATTTACTATAGGCGCACGCGCATTGACGTATTAATACGTAAAATTAACAGAGAAATGAAATATTATGTGTAAAACAGACAAGTAAATGGTGTTTTTATTATCAATTTGACACTAGTTGACTTGACAACAACCAAATACAGCATAAAAACCACGAAAAAAACACAATAAAACCTACAAAATCAAACAAGCGAACTTTATTCAAGGCGATAATGTAAAATTGTCGCTAATTAAAAATAAAAGGGTACAGAAAATACCGTCGTGTCAACTTTTTCTATGAAAAACTTCTGCGCAACATTTCGGCGCACTTTTAGTACTTAATTAATGACTTTTTTTAGCACTAAATTTAGTACTAAATTTGCTGTTTGCAACGTGAATTTTTTTAGTACTTAAAAAATGCATTAATTTAGTTCTAAATTTAGTACTTAATTTAGTATCGTGACATACAGCCTTAATGTACTAATCTTAGAATTCATATTGTAGACGCATATTTAAAGCCCATGATTTTTTTTATAATTGTCGAAACTTTGACATTTAATTACTTAATAACTTTTTTTGGGGTTGCTTAAAATGTGATTTCTTACCTTCAACATGGAGTTTGGAGTTTAAGAAATTCAAACGCGGACAAATGCTCCATGCGAGTGCGAAATTGTGAGTTTTAATATTATTTGTTATTTAGTCGATAAATTGAGTATGACTGGAATGGTAGTGGTTTCAAAATGAGTGGGGTCAGTGAAAAAACAATTTATGCCATCAAGAAAGATAAAAAGTGGGTAAGACAGTCAAATTCTCGCGAATATACATATGATGTGGGTTTAAACAGCTTATTGAGAGGAATTGTGCACAATGATTTTTTAACATTCCGCCAACTTTGAGTGCAATTTATATTATTCAAAGAATAACAATTCACCATCGTTCTCTTTAAGAACCCTATGTAGATTGATCAAAGATACTGGTTTTAAATATGTGAAGCGTGGCTGTAAAAGTACAATATTAAAACGAAACGAAATCATTCATTGGCGGCACAGATATTTAAGAGTCATCAAACAATATCGCAAACAAAATAGTAACGTTATGATGAGATATGGGTCAACATGGGTCGAACTGTTAACTATGCATGTTGTGACACCATAAAAATCGTAGAGATACTTTTATAAAGGGTTTAACCACAAGCATCAAAGCACCTACACAAAGAAGTCCACGTTTCGTTATTGTTGATGCAGGATATGAAGGTACATTTTTACTTGGCGCCGCGCGTAATTTCTTGGCAAAGAAAAACGATGGCGATTATCATGACAAAAATGAACGCCGACTATTTTGAGCAATGGTTTGAGGAGTCGCTGATTCCTAACTTACCCAAAAATGGACGAAAGAACGTCGTTGTTATGGATAATGCTTCGTATCATTCCCGTCAATTTAATTTTCCAGCTACCTCATGGAACAAACCCGAAATAAAAAAATTGGCTGTTTGGCAAAAACATTTTCTTTGACGACTCCTATTTAAAATCTGAGCTGCTTGAAGTTGCCAACGCATACAGAGATCAATTGGATAAATATAGGATTGAGGAACTAGTTGCAAAATACGGGGTAACTTTTTACGCTTACCACCATATCATTGCGAGATTAACCCGATTGCTAAGAACAACCTTGATTTCAAGACACATGACGTTCGTTCATTGATAGATGAAGCATTGAACATGTCACTGAACAAAATTGGAGTAATTGCGTTGCACATGTCAGCGAAAAACCGGAAAAAGAAATGTGGGTTGCTGATAATCTCAAAGACATCGTTGATGAACTCATTATAAGAATAAATTTTGGAGACAGAGAGAGAGAGATATTTCAGATCTCGACGATGACTTATCCATTGCGTAAAATTTATTCATTATTTGTTAACTCATAAATTTGTAATTTTGAAATTCATTGTTTATTATTTATTATTAAACATCGAATTTAAATGAGACTGGACTAGTTTTTTTTGGCCGACCCCACGATACACAGACTCACGGTATGTTCTTGCGGTGACGTCTCTTGGGACGTAAATTTATTAGCATAATATGGGAAATAATGTTTGAAATTCGATATTTTGCTTTGTTTAGGTTTTATTTAGTTACTTAAACTTTCTGGTTTATTTTATAATATATTTTTTTAACAGATATGAAGATTTAAGGTGAATAATCCTATAAATTATAGGTATTTTGTGACAAAATGCCTACCCTAGTTATAAGGTAACATGAGTACAGAATATAGATTAAAAATACTTTACTAAATTACTCCTACCATCTCTTCTCTTATTATGTGAAATAAAATAGGTACATGTGTACAGAAACAAATTATTTATTTGCAAAAAGTGTAAGTACACAAAAAATTACTTATTAAAATTGGTAAATTTAAATATACTATTTTAGCGAGACACTAGAACAATAATTATGATAATACGGAGAATAATCAACTATGTTCGTGTCCTATTCATGCATAGGATTACTTTAAAAAGGACATGGGGCTACAATTTCATCTGCTATAATTTGCATGCATCTGGTGGAATTCAGTTTCCATGTTTTGCCCAACTTCCCATAATTCTTGTAAAGGGGTTAATTAATTAACCATTCGAAAGTGTTTGCAAAGCCTCTGAAATATTTAGTTGCATTGTGGGTATTCTCAAAGTTAGATATTTATTTTTAAATTTAAAAGCTTCTTATTTTTCAATGAACCTTAAAGCTTCTAAATGTACTTTATCATATACTTCAAATTTGTCCGTAAAGGATGTATGTCACGATACTAAATTAAGTACTAAATTTAGCACTAAATTAAGTACTAAATTTAGCACTAAATTAAGTACTAAATTTAGCACTAAATTAAGTTATTAATTTAGTACTAAATTTAGAACTAAATTAAGTTATTAATTTAGTACTAAATTTAGAACTAAAAATATTTTTTCCTACGTCCACTTAGGAAAGTGACACATATCACACTATATAAGTCATATGAATAAGAATTTACTTTCCACCCGTGTACGAATATGCTACTTTCAGCATCAGCTGTCACAAAATGTCAAATGAGTCATTTCTATTTTGATCTATGTAATGTCCATATTAATACTAAAATCGATATGATTGTTAAATTATTGAAATTGTTGTAAATTAGATCCTAGATATTTATCTTTAACAATTATTATTAAAATAATTTTAAAATAACTAAGTTATGTTTGCTTTTTATTCTGGTTAAACACATAACCGATTAGATCCTTCAATTGACACAAGGCCTATTAGCTAGATGGTTAGAGCATCAAACTTTATCAACTTTGCCATTTGAGACCTGGCGAGCGACCGCGTTCAAATCCTTGCGGGGGCAGAATTTTTTTTTTTTTTAGAAAATATGAAAATTTAATAAATACGATTATTGTTGATTATTTTTTTAAATACATTTTAATTATTATAATAACCTGGTTTTACATTTTTTGATGAAATTATTTTGTGGTCGTAGGAA